CCTTCCCTTCCAGTAAATTACAGCTTGCTTTTGGCTTTCAGGCCAGTCTGCAGCTCATGTTTTCGTACAGTCCAAGTTGCTCGCGTTTGCCTTTTCTGAGGCACTGACTGTGGAGAAGGTTAAGAAGTTCAGCGGTTGGGTTGCTGGTACAAAAACAAACCTACAGATTTCTGATCCAGAACACACACCAAAACAACACGCTATAGAGAAACAGCCCAGCTGGAGCCAAGTATACATGCTATTGCGTTACACCCCCCCGATGTTTATTTACAAAGCAAGGCAAGTAGGACTGCCATCCCTCCAGGTTTCCTTAAACATCCAGAAATTGTCCTTGGATCAGGTTTTTGGTGGGAGGGGGGTGTAAAGTAGCTGTGCATGCAGGACCTGTGGACAGCAGGCTTCTCCAGCACATCTACCAAGAGGTGAAACACAGGTGTGCATGGGAGGGCTCATCCACAGCTGCTGTGGGCAAGACAACAGTGGATTTTCTGCACCTGCACCATGGCTTTCCTCCCAGAGAGCACACCCATTGTCCCACCCCGGTGACCTCAGTTGTCACCACAGAAAACACCTTTTCCAGGGACTCTGCAGCTTTACACAGCTGCCCTGCACACCACAAGCTACAGCACTGCACTGAGCTGGGTCAGTGCTCCCCCAAAATCTGCAGGAGCATTTCGAAGTTTTGAACTGGACCGGTCCAAGGATTGTGAGCACTAGCAAGAGGAGGAAAATAGTGGCAAAAATGCCCCAAAAAGGGGAATTCCCCTAAAGGCTGGGGAACTTGATGTCAGTACCTGGAGCTGCATTCCAAAGCCTGTGCTAGCTTTTTACAGTTTCACAAAAGCCTGAATTTTTCTGCCCTCTACACCCACCTTATTAAGGAAAAAGCACTTTTTCCCCCCCAAGAGAAGAGATGGTTTAATTCTCACTTCATCAGGGCTGTACAAGTCACAACACAAGGCAGGTGAAAGCCCTTCACTTTATAAAAGTGCCTCTGTATCCTCTAAGAGCTGAAACAGACTGAATGTTAATAACCATTTTCCAAAACCCCACTGACATTCATTTGCACTGTTTGTCCAAGGGCTCAAAGTCCTCTAGACCTATGGCTCCAGGGCAACAGGTTCCTAATTACCTAGTTTACAGCATCATCACCGCCAGATTAACAAAGCACTGGGAGGTGACTGACCTTGATGGCAAAGAGAGGTGATAATTCACCCAGCATGCCCCTGAGCCAAGGATGCCTGAGAGGCACCTGCAAGCCACACAAGGTCCAGCTGCAGCATACTAAACACACATGTGGCAGAGCAGCTCGCTTCATCATGCCCTGATGCAGCTACAAGGCATAAAGCCACAAAGAGTAATTACAACGAGAACTATTTTTAAGACATGTAGCAAAGCTTTAGTGGTTTTTTGTCATCTCCCCTCCTCTATTTACAGCAAAGGTGCTAGAGAGTCAGCCAGGTTCCCAGTCCCCGACCTGCCCAGGTAAAAGCCTGCCCTGAGCAGGAGAGCTCAGGAAAAGCAGGGCAGGCTGGCCCTTGCTTCCTCCCTGCCCAACAAAGCCAGGGAGACACAGCCCTGCTCGCACCCCGCTGCTGGTGTTGATACCTGCAGTGCTGCCAGCCCCACAGCTGGGAGCACAAGGTGTGCTGCTCCTATCCTGCTCCAATGGCCTTGGCACCCACAGCTCCCCAGGCAGGGCTGGGGGTGGGTTTGCAAAGGGACTGGTACCAGTGCCTAGGACAAGGAGCATCTCACAGCCAGCTGCTGCCATCCTGGAATAAATAAGGAGGCTTCCCCAAGGGGCTAAATACTCAAAGGCTGGGTTCAGCAGGTTTCCTTAATGAGGATGCTGCTGCAAGATACATTACTGGAAAACCTTTGCAGCTGTGTGTGCTTTGGGGAAAGGACCTGACCTGAGCCTTGCCCAGCTGGCCTGCTGTGGCAATCCCCAAATAGGGGTCACGGCTCACTCTCCCCTCATCTGGCTCGCCTGACTCATGGGGGAGCTGACCCCCTTTTCACCCAGCACCTGCTTTTTCCAGTACTGCTGCACATGCCGGCCCATGTGCAAAAGTAACGTTAACAAAAATCCATTTTTGCAAAATCTGAGTGGTTTCCACTGCCACGGCTGCTGCAGAAAACCCTCTGCACCTCACGGGCAAGGGCTTTTAGGCACTAGAAATCAGTGATAGCCCACAATAGCAGATGTTTCTCCTCTAAGCACGACATTTACCTGAATAAACAACCACCCATACTCACCTGGCCATGTCCCCACAATTAGTATTTGTAAGGGAGGCTGGGATTTTTAGGGACAATTTCTTTCCCCTTCTGTACCCCCAGAAAGTACTCTAGTGTGCATATCACTCTTCACTTGGGTTCACGCACTTACAGGGTGGGATGAGAGACCCTAAAGCACTTCAGCAACAGCCTCTGCTGTCCCCACATGAAGAAATGCCTGTTGATAAATCACTGCTGCCCTTCAGTAAAAAAACCCAAAACCAGCACATGGGAACAGGAAGCAAATGCATATATATTAAAGGTTGAAATTAAAGTTTTCCCAAAAAATACACAGCTCAGCAGAGACAAAGATCAAAGAGCCACAGAGCCACAGCCTCCCAGACCCGGTGGCCACCTCTAGCCCGGCTGTAAGCTTACTGTGAGTGTTGGGGCGTGAGGGGTGGCAGCGAGCCACCCTGCCAGCTCCCATCCCGCCAGTGCTCATCAGCCCAGCCTTCACTGCAACGAAAAACCACCTCCCCACTTTGCTCCAGTACTCCAGGAAAACCCTTTCCTCGGGAAACTTGCAGTTTGTCTGTTCAGTGGCCGCTTGTGCTATTTGGCAAGCGAGTTTTCAAAGAGCAGAGCCAGGCACCTCGGTGGTGGTGAGGCGGGGGCTCAGGGTGGGCATCCCAAAATGCCGCATGCCCCAGGATGTAGAGCCAGAGTCACCGCACAAAACTTCCAGGTGCTTTAACAGCAGCTGTGCAAGGAGGTAGTGCTGTTTTATAAATGTATGCCATTTATACCTGAACTAGCCAGTTTTATACCCGACCTCACTGTTCAGGCATGGTTCCCCGGGAGCTCGGGGAAGCAGAGGGGTGAGAGGGCCTGTCCTGGCACCAGGCAGAACTGGGCATCATTCAACAGGCACAAAACGTTCCCAGCAAAAGCCTTTTTATTCCACTAGATGGTGCCCAGGCCTTGCTTATGGATGTTGCTTAATGGCATGGACAAGGATGCAGTCAGGACTGGGGATGGAGATGGCTGGGCACCACGCCCGGGTCCCCATGGGGCTGCAAACCTGCCAGTCCCAGCCCCCAAAACCAACACCTTCATTTGCCAGGCAACGGCATATGCCGAGCCCAAGCTCCCTGGAGCATCGCCATAGTCCATCAGACTTGGGGTGTGACATGCCGTGGCAATTCCAGGGGCGAGTCGCCCAGCCCAGGCTGCCAGCAGCCCTGCAGCCTCTTTCACTCTGAGCTGGGTGGGCTGGCACAGGAGGTGCCTGAGCCTTTGGGGGTCTTGTGGATGCTGCCTCACGCCTGGAAGCTGCAGGCAAACCCCTGCCCCAGGCTGCTTAAATCTCCATGTCCCCGCAGCACTGGCACCAGGCTGCCTGGAGTGGCTCCCCTGGGGGCACCGGGGCCTGATGCCCTGGTGTGGGGCGTAGTGGGCACATGCAATTTTTGATCCTTTCTGCTGAAAAGCATGAGCTCTAGCAAGGCAGAGCCTTGACAGCTGGTGCTACTGATAGCACCAGTGAGATACGCAGTGCTATCCCTGTCCTGGTGGTCCCAGCATCAATCACCCATGCATGATCCCTAAGAACCAAGTCTATGGCCCAAAATTGGACCTGCCCCTTCCCCACATGTGGCCGCGCAGAGGGCAGGGGAGCAGGCGCTCTGTGGGTACATTGCTGCTATCGTAATGCTCCCACCCCATCTCCCAGCATGGACGCAGCACCAGCAGCAAGTCCCCTCCCGTGCATGCTGAGGGCGGCACCTCTCCCCGTAAGGCTTGACACCGCTCCCACCATGCCGTTTGCTCCGGTGCACTGCCAAGCACACCCGTTTTAGCAGTTTCTCAGATAGAAAAAGCAACCTGCAATTGCATAGACAGTGATTAATTTTGCGCACCACCGGTGGCACGGCTCCAGCGTGTCGAAGCCTAGCCTGGCTTGCGTGTGGGGGCCAGCAGTGGGAATGGCGGCAGCACGGCTGAGGTGTTACGGTGCTGCTGGAAGGGCAGTGGGGCCGGCAAGCACCCCAGCAGCATGCTGGAGGGCATGACGGGGATTTCTCACTGTGAGAGATGGACAAACCGAGGGGGGAGATGCTCTGTGGGGCTCCCTAGCAAGGACAAACTGCCCAGGGAGGTGGGTGGCCCTGGGCAGGAGCTGGTGGGGTTTGATACCCCAAGGGAGGGATGTGCGGGGCCGGTTGGCCAAATTACAGCCCCAGAGGTGATGACTGGGCCAGGGATGTGCTGGGGCCAGAAACACCCCCATGCCTGGGGACCAGCCCCCCCGCAGCACACTGCTTGCGGCAAAGCAGCTGCCTGAAGTCCTGCTGCAAACATCAAAGTCAGCAGAGCCCTAGGTACAGAAATGCATTTATTTCTCCGTTAGACTGGAAGTGAAACTGCGAGGACAGAGGCTTTTTGTCACTGTTTATTTACTCACTTCACATCAGTGCACAAACAATGCTACCCTATGCCGTGTAGCACAATTGCTGTTAAATGGCTGTCCAGCACAGCAAACCCATGCATCGCTGTCACAGCACTGGATGCAGCCTCCCTCAAATTAACAGCAGGATTGCATGAACCAGTGATTTTTGGCTCCTGGGCTGTGAAGCACTGCGCGACTCCCAGCAATGTGCAGGGCGCCCCTCACCCAGGCAAGAGCAGCGCCCACAGCAGGGATGCTGGGGGGGGACGACTTGTGGGACCCCCCAACTCCACCGCTGGAGCCCACTGGGGTGGACACCAGCAGCTCCTCAGAGGGTCCCCCGGCTCCAGTGGCCGTGGGGGTGCCCCGGGGCTCCCCACCCCGAGGGCCGCAGTCCCGTCTGTCGGCTGTCGCTGTGGCTGCCCTGCTCCCCCTCGGAGGATTGGCTGCTGTCGGCACTCCCAAGGCCAGCATAGGGGCTGCTGGGGCTGCCCCCTGCCGCGCCAAGGCCGTAAAAGGCCCGCTCGCGGACGTGGAGCTCGTTGGCGCGCTTCACCTGGTCCACCTGCCTGCTGTGACCCAGCGCTGCAAACGCCCCTGGCATCCTGGCCCCCGGCCTCCTGCCACGGTGCCCAGGGAGGCGGCCGACCCCGGCCCCTGCCACTGCCACCCCAGCCTCGCCACCTCGCCCCCGCTCCTTGCCTTCGCCCCCTGCCACACTGCCCCCGGCTCGCCCTGCCTGCGGAGGGAGGCTGCCCCCTGCTTCGGCGGGGCGCGTGGCCTCCCCCCGGCATCGCTGCCATGGCTGCCAGCCCTCACCTGGGCCCCACTCGACACCCAGCTGCCAGCTTTCCTGCGTGGGGACGGCACTTTGTCCGTCTTGAGTGGCTTGTCCAGCCCGGCTGCCCCTGGCTGGACCCTCGTCCCTGCCCCCGGCCATCCCTCCCCACGGGGCTGGGGGGTGGCTGGCCCCACCTTCCCACTTCCCCCTTTCCCCAACGCGCTCGTGCCTGCTTTGCGGCTGCCGGCCATCCCCAGGGCAGTGGTGCAGTCCCCCTCGCTCATCCCGGGGGAGGCCATGGTGGCACCCAGGTGGATGCTGGCCCCCTCAGCTGAGACAGCGGCAGCAGCCTCCTTGTCACCCCCCTGGCGGGGGGTGGTGACAGCCAGGCGGCCTGGCCTCCCCTCGAACCTCTGCCCCTCACCTCTCACCTCATCATCACCATTCCCGCGGATGCCAGCCCCCACAGGGATGGTAACATCACCACCAGCAACCCTCCAGGGGCTGGGGGCCACCAGTCCTTCTCCATCACCAGTGGTGGTGGCACCATCTTCATCTCCTGTGGGACGGCCATCCCCAGGGCTGCTGATGACGCTGTCCCTGTGGCTTGGGGTGGCTGTGGTGGCCGGTCCTTCAGGCTGCCCGTGGGCAGAGATGCCACCATTGTCATTGCCATCATGTGCTGCAGTGATGCCCAGCCCGGGCAGGGAGCTGCTGGTTCCCGCAGTGGGGATGCTGTCATCTTCGTTGCCAACAGTGGCACTAGCCTGGGTGGTTTCTTGCTCCCCGACATGGATGTTGGCCCTCCCAATGAAGATGTTGACCTCGTCGTCCTTGTCCGGAGAGATTTGGGTGAAGCTGGTGGCCCTCACTGTGCTGCCCACCTTCCCGTGGGTGACAGTGACACTGCCCGAGTCAGGGATGTAAGTGTATTCATCCACACCTTTGGCGTCAACTTGGACATCCTCCATGTTCTCGGTGATGGAGGCGAGAGTGGCGCCTCCCATCCCTGTGCCCCGCATGTCACCCTCCTGCTCTTGGCCAGGGACAGTGGCCTCACCGCTGCCCTCATCCCCAGCCCCTCCGGTGGTGGGGGCCCTCTCCCTCCCGGCTGTTGTGGCCCCCTCCACTGGAACCCCCCTGGGGGCACCATCGTTCCTGTCCTCACTCCTGACACTGGTCCTGTTCCCTGCCACGGCCTTGCCGGGGTGTCCACCCTGGGGGAGAATGGAAACACCATCTTCAACTTCAACTACCAAATCCAGGTCGCCGCTGCCCTCTGAGCTGGCCGGGGTGGGACCCGCGACACCGACACCACCGCGCGCTCGCGTGCCGGTGCCTGGGCGAGCACTGTGAGCATCCCCACCAATGCCTGGGGCACTGCGGTTTTTGGGCTTGAGGCCGGTCCCATTCTCCATCGCATTGGTGCTGCCATTGTCACCTCTCTCTGGGGCCACCCCATCCTCTGTCGGCCCCCGCCTGGCATTGTCCTCACCCAGCCGGTGACCGGGGATGGTGCTCTGGCTGTCAGCCTCTTCCTTCTGTGCAGTACACACAAGGGAGAAGTCAGGGCCAGCCCTGGCGCTTGCCGGCTGCATGGGGCGCCACAGCCAAGCCAGGGTCCTGCTGTGCCGCCTGGCCACCTCCTCACCTTTATCTGCGTCTGGTTCCTCCGCGTTGAAAACGAGTAGACATATTTGAAAACGTAGAAGCCATGCTTGGCATTGCAGCCTTTCAGCAGTATCTGATGGGGAAGAAAATAACCAAACCCCACAATTTTCTTATTAAATGCAATGGCAGTAGCTTCCCTTGCTGTGCCTGACACCACAGCAGGGACAGACCAGCACCTGCTGGGGCCCCAGGGTGAGTGATAGCTCCCACCACCTTGTGGTTGTCAGTGCGGGCAGGGACCTGGGCAGGATGCATGTGTTTGCCTCCTGGGCTCTGGGCTTTGGTTTCCCCTTGGGCTTGTTTTCTGCCTTTGC